TGGAAATGGAACTTTAGAAAATGAAAATGGTTAAATTTCTGTCGATCACAGGATTGGATGGGTAGTGAACAATGTGAAAGAGTTTCTGCAGTTTATTCTGAATTTTTAATGCGTCTAATAAATCTTATCAGTGGCTATGTAAAAAAGCTATTATCTCTTCAAGAAATGTAACAGCAGAAGAAATCAATGACATTATTCTTCTAAAATTCGATGGAGACTCACGTGAATATCTAACTGTTGATAAAGTTACATCAACAGTTGATGTTATTCATTATCCATAAGAAATTTTCAATTCTCTTTCTCTTTTGGGATGTCCTCCTCATAAGCTAAAATTAAATGTCGGTGCTTCAATTACATTATTACATTATCTCCAACCATCGAACTTATGTAACAGTACAAAACTACAAATAATATCTTTGCAAAATAATATTATAGAAGCCGTAATTCTTACTAGGCCAGCAAAAGGAGAAATTGCATTTATTCCGAGAATTCCCATGAATCCCACTTCAATTCCCTATTAAAGTTTCTTTTGCGATTAACAAAGCTCAAGATCATACATTTAGGTACGTTGGCGTATATCTTCATTCAGAGTGCTTTTCATATGGACAATTATATGTGAGATTTTTCTCAAAATGGGGACCCGAAGTTTTATATGATTTTGATTTCAACAGGAGATAGAACAAAAAAAAAAAATTATATAATCGGAAGTTTTATAAAATTTTTTATCAATTACAGATTTATTAGCATTTTTTTTATATCTGTATTCATTTTTAATTAAAATATACTTATTATTAATACCGCTAGGGACATTTCAATAAGTTTTCATTAACCGTTTTTTATATTTACTTGCCGATCACGTTAATCGATAACATTTGAATAAAAAATTCTACATATCATCATCCGAAGGCAAAATAAACAACCAATCGCTGGCAAAGCCGTGACAGGTCGGCTATATATATATATTTACGTTGGTGATCTTTTATTATTACATAATATATAATAATGTATGCATATAAATACATAACACTTATGTAAATGGGTATTCGACAATTTTCCTCGAAAGTACTCTTGCCTCTGTCGTTCACCATCTCTTATTAGTCCCTGGACTTCCATTTAACCCGTTTCGGTAGTGCAACGCATTTCTTTGAGAATGAGAGACGTGCTTTTCGGAAAAAGGCGTACGTCGGCGATCGTATTTCTGCGGAAAACGCGGGTTAAATTCGTTATACCAACTGATATATATATATTTGTGCATGTGTGTTCGTTGTTTTGTGATATGTTTGGAGGAGCTTTTTCGGCACGTAGGCCAACAGGGAATGTACTGATTTATCGTGTTCCGGACAAGGGCAACCACGCAATGTGTGACTATATAATAATATATATAGTCGCGCGCGTATAAGGATATGCTTTCGAAACAAGCTGCACACCAGTTTTTCGAGGTTAACCCCGGTGGCTGATGTAAACTTTAAGTTGAGATAATACATACATACGCGCATATACCAACACCCCATGTCAACGGGGAATGACACGTTTTCAACAAAATACCGTTGAAATAACAACAACAAAAAAACCAAGATTTTATTAATTTTATTATTCATTGTAAACAATATTATATAATATTGACTTTAAAATTATTCATTCCAAGCGTCCACTCCGCATTGACGTAATTTCAGTCAAACCAGTCCAAAAACATAATGATTCGTACTTTGTACATAAGTACCCTTATAGTACACATCACATTTTTATGATTTATAACCAGGTTGATTTTGTAAATGGCTTTACAAAATACGAGTACGTATTTATATTTAGATCATGTGTCCACTTTGGAATATCTAAACTCTAGACTGTGGCAAATGCATGAGTTGCCCACCTCCTCAAATAACACCACTGTTACCCCGCGGCTACAAAACATTACATCCTATACTCAAGTATACTTACCTATAGCTTAAGTTGGTCATTACGTTGGTACATTAGTGTACAAGATATTATGTACATTGATGCGTGTTGTAATAATATTATAATAAACTGAACGTTTTCGTATCAAATCGCTACAGTGTCATAAACTTAATGCTTAAGTTTCACGACTCACCGCGTCACCATACGTTTGTTGAGCAAATATTACGCTTGAGTATTTCGACTATTTAAATTCACGTTCTACCTTTAAAATTATTTTAATTTTGTAAACAACTCTCCTTCGTATTTTATTAAGTGTACTCAGCTATATTATTATAATATCTATCTCCCGCGTAGTATATATGTTTACAAATACGTCGGGAGTTCAAAGTTTTTGGGGTGAACGTTACGAATTTTAAAGTTGTGTGACTGCGTTGTTTTGATGTTAAATCACAAAGTTGTCATGCTACATACACACACACATACATATATACATATATATATATATATATATATATATATATATATATTTATATATAAACTTTGATTTCGATGTATTCATAACGCAAAAATGTCACAAAACGGATTTAGACATCGAAAAATAAATCGTGAGTCCACCCAAATTGAGTGGTTAGTCATCTTTTAGAGGTATAGTTGATATTGCGATGTGTTGTGGGTATTTCATTAAATTAGGTTAGGTATAATTTAATAAAACATACATCAAGATTTTTTTTTCAAAACAAAATTACGTCTACCGCGAATATTTTATACCACGGTTTGCCAAGTACGTTAAATATACATTGTTCGTTTGTAAAGTGGTTGTGACGAATGTGTTGAATGTGTGCTGACATGTATACTCATTATTTTTGCGAGCGGGAATCCAATTTAGTGTACATTCATTCTTTTTTTTTTCATCATATACATTTTATGGATTTTTTTTTGTGTGACACTGATATAAAACGATAAAAAACTAGACATTAACGCACACGCATACTCTTAACATCTCGATTAAAATTGTAATTATCATGTCAGTACATTATATATACATGAATTAGTACAATACACGAGGAGGAGTGTATATGGTAATGCGATCTAGGATTTTTTTCTCACTTCTAACGGATGCTTTGGATTTACTTCTTTTTTATATTATCGTTAATAATTTCTCGGCAAATAACGAGAACATTACGCTTTTCAAAGCGTTTCATTTTGCCAACACTTTGCCATCGAATAATGAACAATTGAAATCGTACATAAATAATTAGGTGAATTATTATTTTTCAACGAAGGAATATAAATCAGACGATAAAATGAACAATTATATGAGTTTCACAATTTATATTTTGAGAGTCACTAATATAATACGCGCATATATTGATATTTTCCCGCATTATTATCGTAAGCATTTTAAATTATTAAAACGAAACACAACTTAACAAGCCGTAATACGTATCGAAGAAACTAATAGTTTGAGTCGAACCAGATGATCGGGATCGAGTCGAATTTCCGGTAAGCTCTTTCCAATGGAGATATTTACACTTTGTAAAGGTAAAAGTTGATTATAAATAAGTTGTATCCATAAAAAATGCTCTTATATTAAATACTCGTTTGACAAACAATTCGCCGGAAGACCATTTTTAAAAACTATCATGTTTAGGTAGATATGTTTTAGAATATTTGCAGATTGATCGTGTTAGATTTATGATTAATTAATCATTTGCAAAATAGGCTCGATGAATAATTGTTCTCATTAAATATTTATAGTGACCTCAGTTGTTTCTTTTTTTTTCAATTCCTCGTTTAACGAATAATATAGTAAATTTGTAAATATTATTATCATGACAAAACAGTACAAAAAGCAGAGTGTTCTATTGTATTTATTATAAAAACTAAAACAAATTATTATTCACATCTAATTATTTTCATTAAGATTTAAGTAAAGAAGATGATGATGATGATAATGATGATGATGATGATGATGATAGTAATTGAAATATTTTTTTGCCGCTCTTGGACCCTAATTTTCGAGGGTTATTTTTTTAAGATTCAACCGATGCGGCCCTTTAGTCTCCTAGTAGTGCGGACACTGATATATAACACACAATTATTATATAAACGCTTCTACGCGCGAATAATATTGTTATGATAATAATATGAGAGACGGTTGATATAGACGCCTAGGAACCATCAATTAGATAGGAAGAGAACGAATTCGATTATCGTTGTCGTAACTCGAGCGCACGTCAAGGACCCTCGTCGTCGATTGAATTGAAGCACTTGGTTCACGAGGGAGGCGTTTAACGATAGAAGCAATTGGCCCTGGGTTGAAAATTTTCAGGGGATATTTATATTTAGTTTTCTTCTCGCACGGCGTATAATATGTGTATAAATATTCAAGTAGCGCCGCGGGCTATTGAAAATTCAAAGCGTTTTTTTTAAAACCGGTGGAAAAAAAATGGCCTGACATTTTTCACTTCGCCCCGGGCTGCGCGACGACGATCTAACGGTTTTGACCGAAATAACGATATACCTATAGCTCAATGACGTGCACATTGAAACGGTTTGGAAATAACGGTAATATCAAGAGGAATAAGATACACTAATAATAATAATAATAGTATACGTTGATTTTGGCTTATGGCGCGCGCGTTTGTATACTGGAAACACAGTGCGAGAGAGCGCGTACGTTTCCGTCCAAAGTTTCGGTGAGCGCGCGCGCGCGTGGGCTACTATATACCAGTGCAACGTGTGTGTGAGTGTGTGTATCAAAAAACCTATATAAGGTAATTGGGTGGTGTCGGCGGCGTATGTGATAGCGACGGCAGTGGCTGCGGCGGCAACGATAGTGGTGGTGGTGGTTTAAGACGAGGCGCGGAGTTACAAGGTGGTAAAGGGACGGCGGTGGTGGAAAAGAAGGGACGTGAGGGTGCGCTGGGCGGCCTGTGCCGAATCAATACGGCGCGCGTGGCAATCGCGGGCGCCCCCATCGACCCTGCCACCGCCACCGCCGGTACAGTGCTCGCGAGTGTTGGTGCGCGCCAAGCGGAATATCCCGGCGGCGGCGCGGGAGTCCCGTCGCCCAGCTGCCGGAGCGCGCAAACAACCCCGGAGAAAGCTCCGGGACCGCGGCGCACGGACAATCGCGCGCGCGGACGGACGGTCGCACACACACACACACACGCACACGGAGGCACACGTACGCGTACACACTAGCGCATCGTTCGCACACGCGCGCACGAATACGAGTATACGCGCGCGCGTGCGAACACGCTTTTTTTTCCGGTCCTTTTTTCTCTCTCTCGCTCTCAACACACACACACAAACACACTTATACTCTCCTCACCGTTTCTCACCGTCCCTCACTCACTCTCTCTCATCCTCTTTATTTTACCCGTCCCGTAACGCACACGGCGCGCACTACGGTATACGCGCGCGGCTCGTCGCTCGTGCAGTGTTTTCGCCCGACCGGTGAGGGTTTATTCGCGTGCGTATCCGCGAGAGTTCATTTCCACAACCGCTCGAGTGTAAATCGATTGTGCGCGCGTGTTCGGTGTTTTTTTTTTTTTATATATTTTTTTTTTTTTTTTTTTTTTTTTTTTTGGCCGTTAGTACCTGTGCGCGAGCGTGTACAACGCCTCCGCCACCGCGTCCGGCGGACTGGCAGCAGACGGACCCAGCGGCCGAGTAGCCGGAGGAGCAGGATCACCAGCAGGAGTAGTGGTATAAATAGTTGTAGTAGTAGTTGTAGGAGGCGGTGGTCGGCGTCTCGCGGCTGCAGCTGCGAAGACGACCGCGACGGCGTCTACGTATATGCTGCTCCGGCATCGGCCGTGGTTGCAAAACGGTGAATCGCGTAGGCCACAGCTACGAAGACGACGACGACGACACCGCGGTGCCAGCTGCAGCGGCCACCACGACGACGATGACGTGCGGCGGCCGGCGGCTTTCACCGTCGTACCGACACCACCGCCGCCGACCGCACCACCACCGCAATCACCATCGCCATCGTCACCGCCACGTTGTCCACTGTCAGCAGCAGCCGCACCATCACCACCACCACCACAACCACTACCACCATCATCACCAACAAAACCACCACCACCACCACCACCACCACCACCAAAAACGGCGGTCTCTGGACGATTGCCAACCGCGGCCGTTCACGGCGGCGGCGGCGGCGGTGACACCCTGCTTCGATAGCCGCACCCGGACGCCGTATGCCACCGAGTCCAAGGCGGACGCGGCGCCATCGGCCACCCGGCCGGCAGCGCGTCGTCACACGATCGCAGCCAGCCGGGCGGCGGCCGCACGCCGCATGTCCGCGTGGCTGGTGGCCTGCGTCGCCATTTTGGCCCCGTCGGCGCCTTGCACGAATGCCGCGTGAGTATTCGGTTTTCCACTTTTACCGGACCGAACGACGTTGTAATCGCAACTACCCCTCGGCGCAGAGTCGACTCCCCGAGATAATAATACAGTTATCCGTGGGTGGGTGGGTGAGGGGACGTGAATCTTCGAGCCAAAGGACCAACGGCTTAGCTGAGTGTCAATCTAATCGGACCATAAGAGAACGCATGCACGTCTATCGTCATTCGACGAAAGCATTGCGTTACGAAAACATTCACCGCACCCCGTTGTCCCTTCCTGTCCCGACAGCACGCGGTAGACACGCCGCCGAACCAACTCGACAAAGGAAGCATCATAATTTAATCCGCAGGATCGAGTGGCTACCGCAGTGACACTTGTTTTAGCAACGTGAGAGGCGTTTTTTAAAATCCTTGTGATACGTCCGCGATGGGCTCGAGAGTTCAACCGAAAACATTTCGAAAGATGATAATACACTCGCTCGTAATAATAACAATAACGATAGTATAACATTGTTACGAAACACGATGAATAGCCACTAAACGCCATCACTGCTCTTTCTCCTTGTCTCACGCGCGCGTCTCCTCAGGGCGTAAAGAGCTCGTTCAAGCGCTACGGCGGTATCCTGAAAACACACACACACATATTCATATACAACGCTTGAGTTGAAGTGTAATACACCTCTCAATGTTGTGTATATATGTGTATATATATTTATAAAAATTAATGTTTCTGCTACGGTCTGAATCCTTTGTGAAGTTTTTCTCAGCGTTGACGTCACTCGACGAGCTCTCGGAACAAGGTGGAAATAACAATATAATATTTTAAAAAAATATGACACACAAACCGTAATTTATATACGTGTATATATATATATATATATATATGTATGCATATTAACTTGCATAGTATTTCACAAACGTCGCGTTTAAGCAGAACGTTTCAATTGAACCACGCGTGCCCTTAAATTGTTTTGCGTCGTTTACACGGTTAATTTTTATGTGAGAGGCGTAACCCTACTTTATTTTATATTATTTGCACATCGGGTTTTCGTAAGTACCTATCCATTCAACATTCGTACATAAATACAGTGCCGACAGTGGAGTCATTGGCGCTGTGAGCGAATAAACAAATATGCGCCCTTCCCCATATAAATAGTAGTCGTCTAATTTTAAATCGTTATCTGATGCTATTAATATCTAAATTCTAAATAAATATTGATTACGAACGGGTGACTGACATTAATAATAATTTATTATCTATGGACTAAATTATTATATACCTATCATAATAAATAATATTGAATAGAATGAAGAGAAGGAATATTGGACTTATATTCCTATATTTTTTTTAGTTTTAACATTATGTATAATTGAGGCGTGGGCCGTATCAGAGACCCTTTCATCGAGTGCCCTGGGCGTAGGCCTAGGTCACCTACGCCTAATACCGTCCCTGCAAAAATACATTTGTGTGTAGTACCAAAGAGTGAAAATTACGATGTTGTTCTTTTCGTTTTGACCACTCTCTTACATTTTCGTAAATACGATATTGTTACATGCGATAATGCATGTGTGCGTTAATATATGTATAAATAAGATTTTTATTGCCGTCAGATTTACGTAACCAAGACGTTTTATTAATCATTTAAATGTCTCCGATTTCAAAATGTACTTCTTGATATCATATTTTAACTCGCGTTAAAACTATCCAATGTTTGTAATTCAATTCAAAAGTTATGTGTACGATCACATTAGATTTTTAGCAATACTCCATTTATTGGCTATAATCAATTAATTTTTCAGTGCATAATATTTGTAAATAATTTATACATGTGACTACAATATGTGCTTATTCTCTTAGTAAAACGTCAAATGTATATAACGAATAATTTAATCTTTCTTGTATGTGTATTATATATACATTATATATTTGTTTTAAATATTACATTTATTATATTTAAATATTATATATATATACACATATATACATGGTGTGTATATATTGTATAAAAACATAGTGATAAAAACAAAGTTATGTTTGTAATTTCGTTTTTTAAGTAAATTCCAATTCATAAATAAAGAGTTTAGTATTCTTGTTAACGACTTAAATTCAAATTTAGTTAAAAATATAACATATCACTAATATTGGTCATCAACTAACAACGTCCGATAAATCACAACCACGCTCTAGTGGTATACGAGTACCTGTATATTTTATATTGCAATGCGTGCATAATATACGTCGCGTATCGTGGCGAACAATTAATAATGCGAGCTTGTACAAGATCTGACAATTTAAAAAAACTTAACATTTTTTATTCAACAAACTTTCGGTAAAATGTAAAACGTCTAAGTATAGAATGCCTGTTCGTGAAAGTCATTTTACCGAAGTAAAAAAAAAAAAAAAATTACCCATTACATGTTTTGTCGAGTAAATCTGACGGTTACTGCGATGCATTGATAATGTTTTTGATTTCGGATCACGTACGATACCCGTTTTTAAAAGGTATTCAAGTAGTTATGTTATTTATGTCACGGTTGAGTAGATTAATGTAGAAAATAATACAAAAATAATATATGTAAAGAGTAGAAATGCCTGTACAATGTCAGTACCACCAACAATGTTTTAACTGTCAATCGATGCTTTTATCCTTGTCATTTTCATAACGTAATACGCACACACAAGTGCACATGCATACAAAGCGCATATATAATAAATATAAAACATGAGGGTGCTAATGGTTTATCTTTTTCACCATACACAAGCACACTGTTTGAAGTACTCTTTTCGAGTGTTTTTGCGTAGCGTAAATGTATTTTCGAACTGAAGAAATGATGTCGATCTTATTGTACATGGAATATCGATAAGAACATACACAAAGTTTTAACTTTCGTGCAACACGTGTGTAATAGTCCCAATACATGAATACATAATATTTTACATATATATATATATATATAAATATTGGATATATAGTGTAAATAATATATTATTTAAGTTGAGTAGAAAAAAGAAAATAAAGAGACGAGAATATGCTTGTGTGCAATATTATATTCGTTGTGATACGATTCCTATAAACCCGTTGGTTTGTCGTTTCATTATTCGTCCGTTTGTTACAGGTGATTTCGCGTGTGATTCTCTCACTAAAAATAGGTTTCCAAACTTTTTAGACGGATGTAGTTTGACACCGTGACACTTGACTTTTGGTTTAATTTCATCGAACGTAAACACGCTATTCTATATATCTCTCTCTTTCTGATTTGTTCCGCTATCTTAGTATATATAATATATATAGTATATTAACTACACTATAATTAGGTCGTGTCCAAGGGAAACGCTAAAGTTTCCGTCGCATGCGTCAAGACGTGTGTAGCTTTTATTCAAGTTGAAAAATAAATCATTAAATCTGTATAACTTTAATGTTATAAGGAATATATAAAATATTACAATTTATTACGTGAGTGGATTTTGAATAGATCAGTTGAACGAATAATTTATATTTCGTTTATAATTATGGTTAAAAAATATTTAATGCCCTAACGATAAGTATAAAAATCGAATAACAATTCGATAAGAAAACGTAAAATTCACCTGAACACGATTTTCAGAATTTCAAATACTGCAAACTGAACAATTTTAACGTAAGATTAAGATAATTGTTTTTTTTACTCCCAATATAATATTATCGTCAAAAGACGAAACAATACTAATAAAATAGTTGTTGAAATGCATATGTCATAAAATGTTCTACTATTCAATAAGATTGATTTTTTGGATGAATAGCATAAATTAATTATATAATAGTAAATACACGATCATCTGAAACTTGAAAACGTCTTTCATAATTCTATTGAAGCGTAGACATACGTTTTTTTTTTTTTTTATTACTATCCATTTCTTCTTGAATACAATACAGATATATCGGTCCCGCATAATAGTCATCTTGTTTTGGCAAAATCTCAAAAACGTTTGTAGAAAATTATTGTTCATATCTATCTTATTTTTTTGTTAATGATAACATATTTTTGGAAGTCAAACACATTTTTCATGATTGATTTTTATTTTTCCCTATATACTATTTGATAAATTCTATGTGTACGATATAATTATATTCAATTATATTACAATTTTAATATTTTACTCGTAACACTGATATTTCGTGTTAACTTCTTATGAATTTGAATATGAAACGATGTAGTTGCTAATGTGTCACATCGTGATAACAGTAATCAGTAATCAGTTATAAAACATCTGTTTGATTTTCGTTGAAATTTCTATTACTAAATTGAATTACATAAGCATTTTAAAAATTCAATCATATATTCAATCATCACAAGTGTGTACAGAACACTAAAAGGTTCAAATTTTAACTCTTCGCGATACATTATACCATGATTAAATTAATAACATTTGTTTAATTATAATTTATCCACAAACATATATTTTATAATATTATCTTTAATAAAATCATAATTTATATTAAACATAAAATTCGTTTACGCGAGACAACAGTTTGGACACTCCAATTTTTGTTTTGACAGCTCTAGTCATCTCCGGGGTACACTAGTTTGAAACTGAGAACAAATAACTTCATAGAAAAATAAATATTTGTGCGGCAAGTGGGCATGTGTCACAAATGTCATTTCGACCCACCACCACTAAAACTTTAATTTTTGAAAAGGTTACACACACACTATATACGCCATAACGTTATTATTTGGTATTGTAAATTCAATATTAATTCCTGCGTACGTTCACTTTCGCTTGCGCAAACATCCTCTCATAACTCGATCCTTGTATTGTTTATATTACAGTAATATATTCAAACGGGAAAATTTAATTGCACATTGCCGTCACCAAAGCGTGTAAATACGCGCATATATATATACATTATTATCACTTCAATAAATGTTCTTCACGCTGTCATTATCCGCTGTATTCCTTATAGTACTGCTCGCGTGTTGTATTCCTAGTTCAGAACATAATATTGTCCACTAACCTTGTTCGCGACAACCCCAACGAATTTGTCACTATGTATGCATATGACCAGGGCTAGTATTAAATACGTTCGACGCGTGCAACGGCATAGGGTGCTAAAATCAAAAGGGCGCGCGATTGGCGTCAAAATTAGAATTAAATTTGATCAGTTGTTATCGACGCAAATTATTTACCTTAGATAGAAAAAAAAAAATGTCACGATGTAATTTAATATAAATTTGATTATTATTAAAATTATCGTTATATATTATACAATCGACATGCAAAGATTGACCGCACGCATTTGTGGGTACAATTACAGTTTAATAAACTATCACTATATTATTAAAAGTGTTATTATGTTTGTTCTATGAATGATTTACAAATATGTGGCAAATATGCACGTTTGAACAATTATTTTGAGCATTTCTTATTATGAATGATGTTCAGGTTATAACATGTACAATGAGGACCCTCCAGCTCCTAATATTCTGCCTGTTTAAGTCATTTATGATGGAGGATTGACAAAATAATTCTTGCACTGAGCCCTGAAAGAGCTAAAGCCGGTCCCGCTTATGACTAACTTACGCGTGCACGTATATCTGTACCGTTGGCCGATTCTGCTTGAATGGATCGCGCGCGGTGTGCACGCGATCCAGAAATAAATGCACGAATACGTTACACATCAGTGATTCTAAACTTTTTTCGTCGAAAATCCCTTTGTAGCCATAAACAATAAAGTTATATACTTTTTTTGGAGTCCCGAGTAATAAAAATTAATAAAATAATGATATTTATGTACTAGAAGTAATTTATTTTTAAACTTGTTGAATCCCTGAAAAGTTATCTCGGAGCTCTGTAGCTGGGGTTTTCTAGATAAAGCTTGAGAATATATGTTTTTCTATAATTATAAAGTCTTTCGGACTGTAAAACTTTCAAGTAGTATAAGACTAGTCGTTTTTACGGACAGGTAAACTGTGACGATTGCATCGGTTTGTTTCAGCAGTAGTATGTACGGTGACGTGAACATTTCGGCCATACTCGATTCCTTCAGCGGCAGTTACGACAAAAGAGTAAGACCGAATTATGGAGGTGAGTTATACATCAATTTTGTTTTATTTTATAATTTCTATTACAATAACTTTGTAAATTCTATTCCATATACTTATTATATAGAGGTTCATACCAAAGCATATATTTATTATACGTGTACACCGAATACACAACCATTAATATACTGAGTAATATTCCGTTTAGAGAACCGTAACGATATCATTAATATTTTCTTAACACTTTCAATGACAAACAGTATTATATGATTTAAATACTCCCTGTTCTTCTATATTAATGATAAAATATAATGATAATACTGTCCTTAATTTATATTTTTTGAACGTGTGTATAACTTTCTTTTATTTTATACTATTTCAAGTGTACGTATACACGTTATGCATAGTAATGTCTTGAGGGATATATATATATATATATATATACACACACACATATACGAGTACATAATAATATAATGTAGAGTATAATTATTATTATTTATTTAGATTACGATTATTTCATACGAACGTTTCGATACATAAGATATGAGTGTATATATTTATACACGCCTTGTACGTGTTTATATTATTCTTGACTATCGTTACTCGGTATATACGTTCGCGCGTTTAAAGTTTAGGCATTTCGAGCGTGGGGAGTGAGGTAGAAAGTCTGTGTGGGGACAAAGAAACTTCTTCGTCCCGTCCCGTTTCACTCACCTAATCTTTATATGGCTCCGTAGAAATACTACAACACTAACTCGTGTACAATCGATATCGTACTAAAATTGCGTGTTAACGATGTGTAGATATACTCGTTATATTAGCTTTTTTCCTAAATTTATCACGCAAAACATATTATATATATGTAATGTTATACTAGATTTGGTACAAGTAATTAAACGATACAATATTATTTTGCATTTCCAAAACATTAAAAATCTAAAAATAAACGTACACAGAAAAAATGTAATATAACAATTAATAATATAATTCAGTATTGTACGTAACGTGTGCGCGCGTGTGTACACATAACGACGGTTGTTTATAACGTAAAACTGCCGTCTACGTATAATAAATCGCATGCGTTCAGACGGGACGTCGGAAGGTTCGTCGTTTTATGTGTGTTAGTATTTTTTTTCTCTAAAATATTCACTGCAGTGTTCCCTTCGATTTCTTTTCGTTCATGAGCGTATGATTTTTTTTTAATAAAACCGATTCCTGCAACGTTATCTAGTCTATACAGCATGTTATCATATGTTACTCATCATGCCCCGACTAGATCCTCCCGACCTTACTACTCTCCGCGTCTCTGTCTCTCTTATTTCTCATGTCATTTTCACTGGGAACTCGCCAGCAGACATCACCGCAGTCCTCGAACGCACGGCAGCAGCACCCACGTCAGTGCATGCCGAAGATACGATAACAGTACTACACGAAACGGGAAAAAGCAGTCGACAAACACTCGGTTTACCTAGTTAGTGTATACTACATGGGTTGAAGAATTTTTTGACACCAATATAATTACTTTTTATGGCCTATCGAAAACCATAGCACGGGAAAGATCATCAAAAACTAGGAACGACTGTTTTTTTCGCATAACAAACACACCCGATGTAGTCAAGACTATCGGGTCATTCGGACGGTATACGTATTGCAAATCGAGGGTTTCCCGCGTTTCGATTTTTTTTCCCCCACTTGCGTCGTTCACTGTATGATATTATTTGTGGTTTGTACGCGTGTGCGTGTACCTGAATAATTTAAACGCGTATTAAAAACGGCTGCTGCCGTTGATGGTGTTTCTGCTGCGGGGGAGCGACGAACGGGAGGACGAGACGGAGAGGTTCGGTTAGTAGATATCCGTAGGAAAAGAAGGCCAAGGTAGCCCATAAGGGTGTGACGGGTGGCTCTCCTGAGCACCGGCTTGCCGTGAGCTATATTGTACCATAAACGATATATTACTGTATATTTATATATTATAAAGACGGTGATACGGAGAGGAGCGCAGCACAGTGTAGTGTTGTGTAGTGTAGTAGCAGCAGTGGACTGTTACCGCCGTATCGAGTGTTCGGAAGGAGCTAACGCGGAAGAGTAGCTGAGCAGGAGGGGGTAACTGTGTGTGGGCGTGTAAACTCGGCCATCATCTCTCCCGAAATCGATTTGACCTGTAGCGCTGTGACGCTATTTTCGATTTCACCGGCTTCCACAGCTTTTTTAGACTAAACACGCCCCGGAACACACACACGCACGCACATACACAACACACACATACACACAAACACAAATACGACGACTTAACCCTGCAGGTTACCCAAAAATGTGTACATGTATTAAACTTACCTTGCACAGTGTCTGCTCGAAGGGGGTACATGTCGGTTTTCATCTATATGTACGTTCACGTAAACTTTATATCAGCAGTTTTAGCGGTGTACCTAATTATATTGTATTTTTCTGCTTTCTCCATTCCTTTTCTAGCTTCATTGTCGTGAATCAATTTATTTTTTGTTTAAAACGGTCCTTGTAAGTTTGGCACCCCGAATTCACAATTTCAAACTCTCATCCTAACATGTGAAATTAGTAACTAGTTAGTTACAGTCAACATTTCTAGTTTATACCTCTCACTCCAAAATTAATATTTTCGTAATTAGAATGCGATCAACCATGACGGGGCATATTCATATATTATCTCAGGCTGTTATTGATATATGTATCATTTTCTTATGATCAATTAATTTTATATTTTATCTTTTCATACGCAAACGAAAATTTAATATGATACGTAGATTTCTTTAATATTATAAAAATTCGGTCCGCACTTGTAATGTGTGCATGCGAAATTTTCGTTCCGTTTACTATTATATTTATCTATACTAAATTTGGGAAGTTAAATTAAATTTTAAACGTGTTGATTCCAAAAAAAAAAAGTTTGTTCTTATAAAAATAACCACGCACTTTCCCTTACCAGGGACTTTCTCTTAAAAAGGGAATCAAGCAAATCGTGAGTATAACGTCATCATATAATGCCTTTCACAAATTTTCAAAGTAACCCGTCATCAAACAAAATTACTGAAACCAAACACAAAGACGAACACTAACTAAACAGATTAGATACAGATCATAATACAAATGCTAGATTACCTGGAATTAAAATTATAAACAAAAAAAAAATTATCAGTAGATACTGGCATAGGTTCAAGCCATGCCGACTATGTAGATATTGATAATTGGCAATTAATCACCTACTAAGCGTATAATCCAGAAATGTTACCAAATCCAAAATTATCGAACAATCAAAAGATATTCTCTACTCCAAATCGTTACAGTCCTTTAAGCGTCGAAAATAACATGAACAATACAAACAATAATGATACAGAAATGTAAAACGATGATATCAGTATCAGAGCATCTCCACCCATATTTATTAAATCAAATATAAATAATTACCAACAATTCTGCGAATCAATTAAAAGCCTTAATATCCCATCCATGAAATTCTCATGCAAAACTACGTAAAACAGCCTAAAACTTGTTACATCAAACTCAAACTTATATAGAACGGTTAATAGATACCTCAAAGAAGAAAATGTTAACTTTTATACATATCAAATACACGAGGACAAACCTTACAGTATAGCTGTAAGAAATCTTCACCCCTCTACTTCAATCGAGTTTATCAAAGAAGAATTAGGAAACTGCGGTTTCTTAGCTCGAAACATAACTAATGTTCATCATTATCAATCAAAAACTCCCTTGCCATACGCGCCATTACTGCAATAACATACCTCGTTGCGTCCGTTGTGGCGATCAACATACCTCAGACATCTGTACAAAAAGCAAGGACCTTCCAGCGAAATGTGCGCTTTGTTTTGGTGACCCTCCAGCGAATTATAGAGATTGCCCTTCTCTCAAGAATATTCAAAATCTTTGAAACCGCCATTCTTCTTAAGCAAAGAAAAATCATCTCAACAATAATATCAAATGCCAAGAAAATAATAATGTACCATTCTACCTCAATCATAACATTATATATATATATATATATATATCATTTATAAACGAACTAAAATCACTAATTACTTATAAAAGTAATCGAAAAAGTCCAAGATAAAAAATGACCTCAAACCCAATCAATCATTTCTCTTTATCAATATTTCTTTGGAATGCCAATGGACTAAATCAACATCAAAATAAAAATAAATAATTTAAACGTTACAATCTCATCAGCTTATTTTCCTCCAAACCAACAAATCACAGAACCCAAATTGCAATGATTTTTCCAGTTTTGGTAGCTTTTTTTATAATAGATGTAAATTTTAATACTGAACATAACTAGTGGGATAGTAGATACACTAACACAAGGGGTAGATTATTTCATAATTTAATACTAAAAAATAAATTGTCTTTTATTTCCCCGGATGAACCAACTTATTGGCCTACACATGAAAATAGATCCCTCAATATTCTCGATTTTTTCATAACCCAAATCCCAACTGGTTTAAAATACCATATAAAAAACATAAACGACCGATCAAGTGACCATTCTCTCATATAGCTAACCTAAGGATCCCTACCTGTTTTCGTCCCTGGATAGTCCCTTTCATCAGGACCCATAGAATGGAAACTATTTCAACAAAAATTAGACGAATCAATGTCTCTCATTTTCCCACTTAAGTGTCCTCAAGATATAGGCAACGCAATCTCTATACGAACTAAGTCAATTCAAAACGCAGTATCAAGTTCTTCTTTCCATACCTCAAATAACAACCTACCAAACTATCAAATTTCATTTCCTCCATTCTTAGTTAATCTTATAAAAGCAAAACGTTAGACTACGAGATAGATCATTATGGCAAAGAACAAAATATCCTATACACAAAACTATTTATAACCATCTCATAAATGATTTAAAAATTAAATTAGCAAAGTACAGAGCCGAACAATTTAGTAAATATTTAACTACTCTGAGTCCCAACAATAGCTTCCTCTTGAAAACAACCAAAAGTCTAATCAATACAATAATAATAATACAACAATAATAAAAATTCA